GCCCCACAGTGGTGTGTTGCAGATAAGCTCCTGTACAACCAGGAGTTTTCAACTCTCAGTGGTCTTCACGCAGAACACATTGCCATGCTAGTGACCACTGTGGTCCACAAGGTCCTCACACAACTGAGCCCCCCCCCCCCGACCCTCAGCAGCGCCGTGCGCATAGTGCCCCATGTGCCCCACCACACCTGGCAGCGGCCCCTCGCCGCCCGCAGCTCCACGTGTCCAAATCTCTCGGTCCATGGGAGCATGGCCCTCACTGCCGGCAGCCCACACCGGCAGACTAGAGGCTCCAGGGCCTCCAACCACCACGGTCACCCCTGTTGGGTTGGCACCATTGGAAACCACCGTGCCGGACTCCCCTGGCCCGCTACTGCCCATGCGGGCCTGCACAGTCCCTGGCTTGGAAACCCCGCACATTTGGTGAAAGTCGTTCCAGTTGCCGCCTGAAATAAATGGGCAGGAGATCTTTCTCCTTTTTAATGCCTTTATTAAAGGGATTCAGCTCAGGTGGGGAGAAATCGACAGGTTGCGCCCACGCTGCCGCAGCTCCCAGGAGTGGCACGAAGGAGGAGGATGAAGCAGCTTTGTCCGCTGGTCTGCGGGCAGAGCTGGGGACTGCGTCCTCACGAGAGATTAGCAGATTCCTCCTTTTTGGTCCAACACTTCGGGTCCCCTTCCTAGTGAACATCCTTTCAGGTCAGGGTGAGAAGCAAAAAGGATCCAAGCAGGCACTGGACTTCGCGCCCATCCTTAGACATCACCTAGGTCCCCTAATTCTATGTTGGCTCGTTGTTTTTAGGGGTTTTCCTGGAAAACTGGAAGATTTGGAGCAATGCATTTCTCATCTGCATATGAGGTCTCAGGCCACTCCTATTCTGGTGCTGCAGTGTCCAGGTGTCACTCCCGGGCAAGCATCAGGAGGACAATGGCTAAATCACCAACCATTAACGGGCAATTGAAGAAGAACTCTTAACAATGAAGCTAACTTAACAGCAACTGGTCCAACCGGTTTTAACTCTGCAACCTTAAACAAAAATAGATAACTTTTTATTCATAACACCCCGGCAGCCCTCTCGCTGCTCACGGCCCTCCGTCACCTCCGGGTGCCATCACCCACGTTGTGTCTTGATCTCATGGCTCCACAGGAGAGCTGCGGCGGACCCTGCGCCTCGGCCTGGGGACACCTGCACGCCGGCCGGTCTCCAACCGCCAGCAGAGCAGCATGTAATCTTGGCACCGCAGCCCCACCGGCCTTCCCCCATCCTGACGGGATCGGCATGTACTGGAAACCTGCAGCGCTGAGCTTGGCTGCAAACACCGCTCCAAGCAGACTCAGCCCCTGGCCTCCTCTGCACCCGTGGGTCAGGAGAACCACCATGGCAGCCCCATGAAACCCTGCTCGCCCTCTCCTGCAGCCCCTGCCTGGGGAACTCTGAGCACTTGGCTTGTCCCAGCAGCAGCCCCACCGGCGCCAGCCACCACTTAGTCACCACTGGCAGGTGTGTGTTTTGGCTGATAAGCTCTGGAAGTTATTGCACTGCTAGCGCACCAGAAGCTCACTGCACTCAGTGCACTGCTGCTCCATGTGGGGTAGCCACGCGGTCCTTCTCCCCCCGCTGCCCGTGGGATGGAAAAGTTACCTCGACTACCTGTCCCAACATGAGCACCATTTCTACTGAATGGTGACTTTCGCTATCACTTTAACATTGTGGGTCTCAACTTGGCAACCTCCAAGTGTTCTTGAGCTCTTACAAATCTTTCAATCTCATGCATCCCACCGGGCTGGGGAGTCCCTGCTTTCGTCTTTTATGCATCCCACCTGCCGCATTTCTTCCCTTCTTCCACACGTGTCTCACAGGCAACAGGGCCTCCCCTTCTTCTCTTACGTGTCCCACCCTGCTTCCAACCGTCCATTATCCTGAAGCTTCAAACTATCAGGATGGAACCGTATATTACTAAAGTGAAGCTCACATTCAAATACTGAAATTACAGAACTATATTCTGGCCAAAATAATTATGAGAATCTTTTACCCTAAGCACATTCCCAAAACTACCTCACTCACACTTCAGGCATACACACACTTATACTCACAATCTTCTAGATCCTTCTCCTTTTTCATTATATAGTCCTTTGCTGTCTCCAGGTTTACCTGCAATCACTGATGGTCCCAAGAGAAGCCGTTCGATCTGCTAAAATCAGCAGGGGCACCATTCATTGAAAATCTCCTGGGCCACATGAGAAGAGGCTTTGTATCCCGAACAAGGCCCCATTCTGTGAGAAACGACTGCTCACTTAGAAATTTTAAAAGGTTTATTAAGCCTTAACAAAAATACAACAAAAGGACTAAATAAGGAAAAATTGCAGGGCTGGGAACTGCCCTTGTGACTACCTCCTCTTCAAGATGGATGCTCAGTCTTTTATACTCCTGGGGGTTGCATCAGCCAATCCTGGCCCCTCCCAAAGTCTGTCAGTCAACTCTTCTTTGCCGTTTATTGGTGGAAACTGCTTCCTTGTAACTTGATTAGAGGGTCAGGTGTTGTCATGCTGTGCCCCCCTAGCAACAAACTTTTCTGTTCCCAACTGCCCCATGTAAGGGGCACATGTGCACGTCTTCTTTCTACCTGTCCCAGGCAACCCAGGCTGTCTGATGGCAACAATACAGGGTGGAGGGGGGGGGGAAGGGATGAGAACAGAGGACATCTAAACTACAATAACATAATTATACATCAATAAAGCTGCTCTTAATATTCACATAATATTCATCCCTTAATTGCGAGAGCAAATAATCTCATCTATCTATAACAGTTTCCATTTCCTCTCTTGCATTAAAGTTAGCTTGTACTGATGATGGCAATGATTCTTTTGCCAAATGTTAATCTACCATCATTAACTCAGGCTAGATTCCATTACATCTGTTTAAGCTTGTAAAGCAAGTGGTTTTGTACATCTTTTTATGTGTTCGGACTCCTCTGATGGATGATTTGGATCACTTTCTGCCATTTGCCTCTGGGGGTGTTAAATCAGAAATCTTATGAAAAGGGGAATTGTTTTTAAACCAGTATGGTTTAAATTCGAGATATCTTCTTGATGGGCTGTCCTCACATCCATATATGTCATCATTTTTAGTAAATGGTCTGTTTTGTATGGAATAATCCTGTAGCTTATATTTTAATAGGTCCTGTGTCGCCGCAGGCCCCTAGCCAGGTAATAATTAGCATTGACTCCATGATTGCAGAAGGTTGATCAATCACTTTATGATATCATACTATATTATACTATACTATACTATACTATACTATACTAAACTATACTATACTATACTATGTTGAGGCGAACTCTCTGTGTGTGGAGACACGAGGCTTGACTCCATTTCAGAAGGCTGATTTATTATGTTAAATATTATATTAAAATGCTACATTAAAACTATACTAAATGAACAGAGAGAACAGAGAGATCAGAAGGCTACAACAAGAATAGAACAGAATAACAAAATCCTGTGACTGCTCACAGCCTTGGCACAGGTGGCTGTGATTGGTCATCAATCGAAAACAATCCACATGGACCAATCACAGATGCACCTGTTGCATTCCACAGCAGCAGATAGTTATTGTTTACATTTCTCTCCTGAGGCTCCTCAGCTTCTCAGGAGAGGAAAAATCCCAGCAAAGGATTTTTCATAATATCATGGCTACAATACTATACTTATTAAGAAGCTCGTAACCCTTACAGACAGTCCGATACAGCTTTGACCTAATTGGTCAATCCATCCAAACACCATCCAGTGTCCAATTAAGAAATCACCCTTTGGTAAACAAATCTCCATAACACATTCCAAATGTGCACAACAACAGGTGCAGCAAGTGGAGATATGAGTTGTTTCTCATTCTTTTCTCTGATGTTCTCACAGCCTTCCCCAGGAAAATGTCTGGGAAAGTCTTTGCCTGCTCTCTGTGGCCAGAGAGCTGCTGCCAGTCCTGTGCATCTTACTATTCACAGTTGAACTATTTGTTCTTTGTTGGCTTTATAATTAAACTTTTCTCAGCACACTGTCTTGTTTAGTGTAGTTAATTCATGCTATAAGCTAGATGTCCTATCATATTTGGGATGATCTGGAGTTTTTTTTTCTCTATCCCATTTGATACCTGTTGCCATATTTTTCTCCATTTTGCAGTGTGCTGGTCTTCATTTGGAATGTCATCTCTACTAATCAAAAGTGTTGCCTTCACTTTTGTACTCTTCTGGCAGATCTTGTTAGGAACATGTACAGGGAAATGGCCATCTGAAGCAGAGCTGCTTGAAGCAACTCTGAAAAACAACTTAAAACATTCAGCTCTACCAAAGAGGCTTGCATGCATGACACTGTCACTGCATTCACTGGGAACAGACATCACTCTGCATCTTCAGAAATTAGAGTCCATTATCACATATAATAGAATCAATAAGTTTAGCTTTCCAGAATATTGTCAAAAAGGCTTGTTTATTCCACTTATAGATTGAGCTGCACTTTGCTGCCTTTCATTTCTGTCACTCTACTCATCCACATGTTGTAGGTTGGTTCAATGGAGTGGGACTGTTTTGTAACAGCTAGAAAATGTGAAACAGTGAGTTGTTTTTTTACTGGGTTTTTGTATATAATTACAATATAAATAAAATTTCAACACTTTAAACTTCAAAACTGCATATCTCCAAGTACATAATTAATTTTATGCACATAATAAGTTCTATTAATTATGTAGGGGTGTGTTTAAAAATATGCACATGCAGCACTGGTACTTATTAATTATGTTGTATTGATGTATAACACTAGGATAAAAGAAGATGCATACTGAATGTCTTTATTAATAGATTTTTTACGTGTATGGCACCCCCCTCCCCTCCCCTCAATAAATTTTTGTGTCTTGAAAGGGGCCTCTTTTTATCTTGTCATAAAGCATTTCACTATCAGATAGAAATGTTACTCTTCCATATCTAGATGAGCTTTGTGCTTTTCATTTGCAGTGGTTGGTTCTGCACACACACGGCCTACTCAGCTTCCTGAACAGTCTTCCTCCTCACAACAGAATGGTAGTTTTTCAGATATATCTCCAGTTCAAGCTGCAAAAAAGGAATTCGGACCCCCTTGTATGTATACCATGTATCAAGGATTCATTCTGGGCATTACATGTACATTTTTTTCAATTATGTTGTTGTCCATAAATGACAAATATTCTATATATGCAGTTGCCTGTAGGCTTCCTCAAGAAGCTTTTTCAGAGTTCTGTGGCTAAAGAAATGTTCACTTTTGTCATAGCTGTTCTTTCTGTTGAATTTATTTTTTGTTTATCTCTTTTTAACTATGACAGTGGGGTTTTTTCATTTACCTGGGCTTTCTTTTAATTCACACCAAGAGATCACATGTATCCAAATATCATCAGGTCCAAATATTTTTTGAGGGTCATTGCTATATTTTTGGTTCTGTAATGATTGTCCCATTAGTATGGCTTTTTTGCAGTCATTTATTATATACATTTTAGAAATTAAATTGCTGTAATTATTTTGTCCTAATACTGATATGCTTGAAGATACTTGATATAAATGAATGCATTTTAATTATTCATAAATTAATAGAATTGAAATGCTATGGTATAAATACTAAATTCATGCAACATTAAAAATATTTTTCAATTATATTTTCTTTAAGCACGTAGAAAATCCAGTTGTGTGAAAGAGGTTGAAAAACTGCAAGAGAAACGTGAAAAAAGAAGGTTACAGCAGCAGGAACTTAGAGAAAAAAGAGCTCAGGTTAGTATTTTTAGCTCAGATGGAAAATGTATATCAGGAAAAGAAGTTGCTTGCAAAATTATGTGTTTTTTTCAGTCTTCAACAATTTTTATGAACTATAATAATCTTGAATTTAAATGCTTTCATCCTGTATGTGGTTTCAATAAGTATTTTGGTACATGGTTGCATTGCTTTGATAAATATTTATTTAGTTGGTTCCCCCCTCTTTTCTTTCCTACAGAAATAATTGCTTACAATTGCTTAGCATTCTGTGTTTTATTTAAAAATGAGGTCCTAATGACAGCTATTGCTTAAGGAAAATATATTAATGAAAATAATCAAATATTTGGCATTTAGATAGGGCTGTTATTCTACAGGAGACATTAATAGAATCATAGAATGGTTAAGGTTGGAAAAGGCCTTTAAGATCACCAAGTCTAACCATCAACCTAGTACCACTGTGTTCACCACTAAACCATGCCCCCAAGTGCCACATCCACATGTTTTTTGAAAACTTCCAGGGATGGTGATTCTATCACTTCCCTGGGCAGCATGTTCCAATGCTTGACAACCCTTTCTGTGAAACAAATATTTTGAGGCCATTTCCTCTTTTCTTGTCACTTGTTACTCAGGAGAAGAGGCCAATGCCCACCTCACCACAACCTCCTGTAAGGGAGTTGTAGAGAGCAATAAAGTCGCTTGAGCCTTCTTTTCTCCACACTGAGCTCCCCCCCAGCTCCCTCATCAGACTTTTGCTCTAGACCCGTCCCCATCTCTGTTGCCCTTCTCTGGACACACTCCAGCACCTCAATGTCTTTCTTGTTGTGAGTGACCCAAAACTGAACACAATATTCCAAGTGCAGCCTCACCAGTGCCAAGTACGGGGGGATGGTCACTGCCCTGGTCCTCCTGGCCACACTATTGCTGAGACAAGCCAGGATGCCATTGGCCTTCTTGGCCACCTGGGCACATGCTGGCTCATGTCCAGTTGCTGTTGACCAGCACCCCCAAGTCCTTTTCACAGAATGGGTAAGGTTGGAAGGGACCACAATGGGGTCTTCTGGTCCAACCTCCCTGCTCAAGCAGGGTTATCCCAGAGCACATTACACAGGATTGCATTCAGGTGATTCTTGAATATTTCCAGTGAGGGAGACTCCACAACTGCTCTGGGCAATCTGTTCCTGTGCACGGTTACCTGCACAGTAAAGAAGTTCTTCCTCATGTTCAGATGGAACTTCCTGGGCATCAGTTTCTGCCCATTGTGTCTTGCCCTATTGCTTGGTACCACCAAGAAGAGACTGACTCTAGCCTCTTGGCACCCACCCTTTAGATATTTATATACATTGATGAGGTCCCCTCTCAGTCATCTCTTTTTGAGGCTGAACAAGCCCAACTCTGTCGCTATAGAGCGCGACACGGCACAAAGCACCCAGACTCCATCAGAAGGGTGTATGAGAGAGATTTATTACAGCAACATGATGCTTTTATAGTTTTTCAAGATATTTACATTTACCTAACAGAAACACGCATTGCCCATTGGTAATAAAAAAGAAACAAAGTTCTTAATAGGTAACCAGGGAGCCACGTCATTCTGTAAGCCAGCTAACGTCCGTATCTTTTAAGTTTCCCTCTTCCATCACATTGCCATAGTAATAGCCTTGGTGTGTTCCTTGAGAGAGATACGGGGCTTTCCTTATCTCCAGGAAGCCTTCGCTGGCTCACAAGAACAGCACAAAATGTCTTTCCCACACAACTCTCAGCCTTTCATTGTAAAAGAGATTATCCAGACCTGTGATCAACTTAGTAGTTCTCTGCTGGACCAGCTCCAGGATCTCCATGTCCCTCTTGTACTTAAGAGCCCAGAACTGGACACAGCACTCCAGATGTGGCCTCATTAGGGCTGATGGCAGCAAGCTCAGTGCTGTGGTTGGTACACCTAAAGGACTGGTTGTCATCCAGAGGGATGTGGACAAGCTCAAGAAGTGGGCACATGGGAATCTCATGAGGTTTAACAAGACCAAGTGCAAGGTGCTGCATCTGCTTTGGGGCAACCCCAAGTATCAATCCAGGCTTGGGGTTGAACTCATTGAGAGCAGCCCTGATGAGAAGGACTTGGGGGGTGCTGGTGGATGAGAAGTTAGACATGAGCTTACAATGTGTGCTGGCAGCCCAGAAAGCCAACCATGTCCTGGGCTGCATCAGAAGCATGGCCAGCAGGTTGAGGGAGGTGATTCTGCCACTCTGCTCTGGTGAGACCCCACCTTGAGTACTGCATCCAACTCTGGGGTCCCCAGGACAGGAAGGACATTGACCTGTTGGAGCAAGTCCAGAGGAGGTCACCAAGTTGATTAAGAGGTCCTTCTGAAGGGCTGCACAGCACTGTAGGGTATCAGCCACTCCTCCCAGCTTTGTGTTGCCAGCAAACTTGTTGAGGAGGCAGCTGCCCTTTCAGCCAAGTCATTGATTAATAAGTTAAACAATACTGGACCCAGTATTGAACCCTGGGGGACACCATCAGTGACAGGCCTCCAACTGAACCCTGTACCACTGATCATGACCCTCTGGGATCTACTGTTCAGCCAGTTCTCAACCTACTTCACTGTCCCCTCATTCATTTCTCACTCCCTGAGTTTGCCCATGAGGATGTTGTGAGACAGTGTTGAAAGCCTTGCTGAAGTCCAGGTGGACAAAATCCATTGCTCTCTCCTCATCTATCCAGGTAGTTGCTTCATCTTAGAAGGCTATCAGGCTGGTCAAACATGACTTCCCTTTAGTGAATCCTTGCTGACTGCTTCTTATCACTTTCTTGTTCTCCATGTGGATAGAGATGGCCTCCAGAATGAGGCGCTCCATCACCTTTCCAGGGATTGAGGTGAGGCTGACTAGTCAGTAATTCCCTGGGTCCTCCTTCTTGCCCTTTTGAAGACCAGGGTGACATTTGCTTTCTTCCAGTCCCTCAGGCACCTCTCCTGATCTCCACAACCTTTCAAAGATGATCATGAGTGGCCTCCCTATGATGTCCGCCAGTGCTTTCAGCACTTCTCAATGCATCCCCTCAGGGCCCACAGACTTTTGGATGTCCAGTTTGCTTAGGTGTTCTCTGACCCAATCCTCCTTGACCAAGGGAATGTCTTCCTGCCACCATTCCTTTACCCTGCTCTCCTGGGTCAGAGATCCCTGAGGGCTGGTCTTATTAGTGAAGACTGATGCAAAAAAGGCATTCAGTACCTCTGTCTTCTCTGTGTCCTCTGTTACCAGGGTCCTCTGTCCATTTAGGAATAGGCCCACATTATCCTTTGTTTTCCTTTTGTTATTATGTATTTGAAAAAGCCCTTTTTGTTATACTAGATATCTTTGGCCAGACTTAATTCCAGATGGGCATTGGCCTTCTTCATCTCATTTCTACTTACTCAGACAACCTCTATTAATTCCAAGTTGCCTGACCCTGCTTCTACCTCCTGTGTGTTTCCTGCTTTTGCATGAGTAATAACAGGAGTTCTTCATTCATCCAGGCAGGTCTTTTTCCCCCTGTGCCCGATTTCTTGCTCATCATCGGGATGCATTGTTCTTGAGCCTGGAGGAAGCAATCCTTGATCAACCAAATCTCTTGGACCCATCCCTCTTCCCTGCAGGGTCTGTTTCCATGGGATTCGTCCAAGAAGATCCATGAAGAGGCTAAAGTTAGCTCTCCTGAAGTCCAGGGTTGTAATCTTACATGCTGTCCTGCTTCCTCCTTGCCCAATACTGAACTCCACAATCACATGTTCACTAGAGCAAAGGCTGCCCCCAACCTTCACATCTCCAACAAGGCCTTCCCTGTTTGTTAGCATAACATTTCCACTAGGCAGCTTTCCAGCCACTCTTCCCCAAGCCTAACCCCCTGCTGCATGGGGTTAATTACAGCATTATAATAAATTGTTCTTTATGATCTTTGATGTTTTATAGATCTCTTCTAGATTCATGTTTGAACAGTGAAACTGTGATTTTTTTTTCCTTTATACCTGTCTATGCATTTATAAATTAGCTTTGCATAATGCAAACAGTTTATTAGTAAGTTGTTATAAACTTATGTGAAAGAAATGAAGTTGTTAGTTTTATTGAGTTTATATGGCCAGGTTTTGGTAGCAGGGGGACTACAGGGATGGCTTCTCAAAGAAGCTGTTAGAAGCTTCCTCCATGTCTGGCAGAGTCAACCCCTGGTGGCTCCATGACAGATGGGACACTAGCTAAGGCTGGGCCAATTAGAAGTGGTGGTAATGCCTCTGTGATAACAGATTTAAGAAGATAGAAAAAAAAAATTTGCGCAGTTGCAATTGGCAGCCAGAAAAGAGCAGGGTAAGAACATGTGAGAGGAACACCTCTGCAGACACCAAGGTCAGTAGAGAAGGAGAGGGAGTAGCTGCTCTGGGCACTGGAGCTGAGATTCCCCTGCAGCCTGTGGTGAAGACCATGGTGAAGGAGGCTGTGCCCCTGCAGCCAGTGGAAGTCCATGGGGATGAAGACATCCACTTGCAGCCCATGGAGGAGACCCATGCTAGAGGAGGTGGATGCCTAGGAGGAGGCTGTGAACCCGTGGGAAGCCTGTGTTGGAGCAGGCTCCTGGTAGGACTTGTGAGCCCATGGGGGACTCACATTGTAGCAGCCTGTCCCTGAAGGACTGCAACCTGTGGAAGAGTGGCCCATGCTGCAGCAAATTGGGGAGGACTGTTGCCAATGGGATGGACTCACATTGCAGCAGTTAACAGTGAACCATTGCCCGTGAGGTAGACTCATGTTAGAGAAGTTCATGAAGAACTGTCTCCCATGGGAGGAAGCCCACAATGAAGCAGAGGAAGGACTCCTCTCCTTGAGCAGCCACAGAAACAACATATGATTAACTGACCATAACCCCCATTCCCCATTCCCTGTCTCCCTGTGCCACTGGGGGAAGGAGGTTGATCTGGGAAGGAGGGAGGGGTGGGAGGAAGGTGTTTTTAAGGTCTTATTTTTCTTATTATTATTCTGCTCTGATTTTGTTAGTAATAAATTCAATTAATATCTCTAATTCAAGCCTGTTTTGCCCATGACAGTATTTGATGAGTGATCTCTCCCAGTCCTTATCTCAACCCATGAACCCTTGGTTATATTTTCTTTTCCCTCTCCAGCTGTGAAGCAGAATGATAGAGCAGCTTTGGTGGGTGCCTGGGCATCCAGCCAGTCAACCCACTACATGAATCTTTTGAGAAAATCAATTAATATTAAATTACTTGCTGTCATAGAAGTGTAAAAGCTTTTTTTTTCTTGTTGGCAGCCTGTATGTGTATGTGTTATTCTCTCCAAAGAGATACTCCTGTGGTGGGCTGACTCTGGCCAGATGCCAGGTGCCCACCAAAGCTGCTCTATCACTCCCCTCCTCAGCTGGACAGGGGAGGGAAAATATAATGAAAGGCTTATGGGTTGAGATAAGGGTAGCGAGAGATCATTCACTGATTACCATCATGGGCAAAACAGACTCGAGTTTGGGATATTAATTGAATTTATTATCACTCAGAGTAGGATAATGAGAAACAAAACAAATCCTACAAACCCCTTCCTCTCTACCCTTCCTCATTCCCAGTCTCAACTTTATTTTCAATTCTCTACATCCTTCCCCCAATGACACAGGGAGACAGGAATTCGGAGTCATGGTCAGTTCATCACATGTTGTTTCTGCTTCTTTCTCAGGGACAGGACTCCTTCCCCTTCTCCAGCGTGAAGTCCCTCCTATGGGAGACAGTCCTCCTCAAACTTCTCCAACTTAAGTCCTTCCCACAGGCTACAGTCCTTCACAAACTGCTCCAATGTGGGTCCCTTTCCACAGGGTGCAATCCTTCAAGGACAGGCTGCTCCAGCAGGCATCCCCCACAGGGTCACAAGTCCTGTCAAGTAAACCTGTTGCAGCATGGGCTTCTCTCTCCACAGGGCTATCGGGGTTCGCTGTTATTTGTCTCTGCCTCGATACAGGAAAGGTGGTTCTGGGCAGGCCGCGCTTTGTAGGACGAGTCTGGACTCTCAAGTTTTTGGTCTTCGATCTTGTTTATTATTTCTTATCTACAATATTTTCTGTCTGCCCAGCCAAGGTCTGTTCAGCAAGGCAGCCCAGTGCACTCTCTCCCGCCCACGGGGCGGCTGTGTCTTTTGTAGTAAAAATTAGGTCTAATATATTTACCTTTAATTCCCAATACTTTTCACCCTTATTAACAAGTGCATCTTCACTATGAACCAATCCACAAGTGCCAACATCATCACAGAAAATGGAAGACATGAAGAAGAAAGAAGAACTTGGGACCACGCCCTGAATCCTCCATCTTGTCTCCATGACCCCCCTGTACCAAAATTCTAAAATCTATATTTCACTCTGTAAATACACCATTCAAACCCTAAGATTTCTCATTTCCTCATACATAGATGACTCATCTCTAGAAGGATCAAAGTCAAGCCACCAGACACTTTTGGTAACATTCCAAGGCCTCTGAGCCCCCCAAGGGTTCTCTCGGCCACTCTGAACATCCGGAGTGATGTGTTGAGTTCCTACACAGGGCCACAGGTCCTGCCAGGAGCCAACTCCAACGTGGGCTTCAGACGGGGTCACAGCCTCCTTTGGGCATCCACCTGCTCCATAGTGGGTCTTCATGGACTGTGGGTGGACCTCTGCTCCCCATGGACCTCCATGGGCTGCAGGGGCACAGATGTCTCACCATGATCTTCACCACAGGCTGCAGGGGAATCTCAACTCTGGCACCTGGAGCACCTCCTCCCCCTTCTTCTCCACTGACCTTGGTGTCTGCAGAGTTGTTCCTCTCACATATTCTCACTCCGCTCTTCTCTGGTCCCAAATACTTCCATGCAGTAATTTTTTCCCTTTTAAAAGTATTTTATTACAGAGGCATTACCACCATCGCTGATGGGTTCAGCCATTGCTGGTGGAAAGTCCATCTTGGAGCTGGCTGTCATTGGCTCCATTGGACATAAGGGAAGCTTCTTGCAGCTTCTCACAGAAGCAACCTCTGTAACCCTATCTCTACCTGAAACCTGGCCATGCAAACCCAATGCAACTACCAATCTGCTAGTGACATGAGAAATACCATCACCAATTCAGGTAATTTACTTCATGGTTTAATGATTTTTCTAAGTTGACCTAAAATCACTTATTTTGAATTCTTATTCTCTAATTTCCATTCACTTAAACAAATGCAAAGCATTACTATGGCTTTATGTGTGAGGAGCAAATAATTGGAGCAAATTCTTTGATGTGGTGCTACAGCTTAAATTTTCTTTTTATCACTTCTGTGACAACCTTTTTCATCCATAATTTGCATATTCTGTTGTTTTTGTGAAATGCATCAAAAATTAGCCAAGCACTGGCATCTGGTGGGCAAGACCTTTAAACAGAGTTTGAAGAATATTAGGCAAATACCTTTTCCATAATAAGCAATACCCTTTTCTGAATGTTAGAAGGAAATGTTTCAGCAGAAATACATTTATTATTGACTTACTATAAGTATTTTTTAGTTCACTGTAGTCAGCGTGAACAACTTAAAGGTACAGTCAGCTTCTGATTACCAGGGCACAGTTTTGTCTGAAGTGTGGATCAGCTGTGTTACAGGTGTAGAGACATGAGCTGGCTCCATTTCAGCTTATTAACCCTAATGCAGTACTTTCTGAAAGTGCCCATCATCAGATATGATCCAGAAGGCGTTTTAGCTCATTTGTAGGAAACCATGCAAAGTTTAATAAGGTCTGAGCACCAGAGCTGGCTATGCATGGCATCAGCAGCATGTTCTGAAATGGGGTAAAAACTGATAGTTGCAGGGAGAACTGACAGGAAGAACATTTGAGTGATTCTGCAGTGAACCAGCACAGCCCGCAGTAGGGTCAGTAGCTCAGGCCTTGCAAGGTTTAGAGGGGCTCTGTACATGGCCGCTTATATGTCCATTCACTCAGATACTCATGGTTCCAGGTTTAGGGACAGGAGACCTTGTGTGCCTGAATATAGCCTTCTGTGTATCATTTGGATTGATTCTGCTCTTTTTTTTTTTTTTTTTTGGGGGGGGGGTCTAGGAGTGTCAGAACAGTTTCCAATGCATCCAAGTAACTGTAGGAGCTAACTCAGGACCAGCAAGTAGGATCAACCTCCTTTAACCAACTTGGATGCAGCAGGGTTATGTTTAGAGTGGCCGGGGCACCTGCACTGTACTCTGCAGTGTGTTTTGTACCTGTATAATAGAGTGTATCCATTTGTCTGTTGGGCCAATTTATCTCAGATTAAGAAGCGTTGACTGTATATGTTATTTGTTGTGCAAAATGTTCAACTGTGTTTCTTTAATGTGAAGATTCTGGCAAAAAGCAGTAGTCATTTCTTTGTTGAGTAGAATTTTAATGACTCCTCAATTCAAAAGTATTTTCTAATACATGCCAACCAAAAATATAAAATAGAAAGTATATAATTGTTGTGCTTTATGACCAGTAAATCAGCTACATCAGAATAGAAAAAGTCATTAAACTTGCAGTTGAGACATTTATGGCGTTTTGGATAAAAATTAGCATTTCAGTTAATGTGTATTTTTTTTTACAAATAAATTTAGAAGTTATTGAAATTTGTTAATTTCAGGGAAAAAGTATATTAGAAATTATGTTGCTTATTTCCCTAGGATGTTGATGCTACAAATCCAAATTATGAAATTATGTGTATGATAAGAGATTTCAGGGGAAGTTTGGATTATAGACCACTGACAACTGCAGATCCTGTAAGTACCTAAGTGATGTGGAAATTTTTTATCCTTCTGAATTTTGCTCTTTTTTTCCAATTTTTTCATATGTATGTACCTGGCCTTGAACACTTCAACAGAAGGAGCATCCACAAGTTCTCTGGGCAATCTATGTCTCACCACCCTCATAGTAAAGAATTTCTTCCTAACATCTAATATAAATCTCTCCTATTTTAGTTTAAAACCATTTCCCCTCATCACTATACTCCCTGCTAGAGTCCCTCCCCATCTTTCCTGTGGGCCCCCTTTATGTACTAGAAAGCTGCTATAAGGTTTCCCCAGAGCCTTCTCTTCTCCAGGCTGAACACCCTCAGCTCTCCCAGCCTGTCTCCATAGCAGAGGTGCTCCAGCCCCCGATCATCTTCATGACCTCCTCTGGACTCACTCCAACAGGTTCATGTCCTTATGCTGGAACCCCCAGAGCTGGATGCAGTACTCCAGGTGGGGTCTGACAAAAGCAGAGTAGAAGGGGAAAATGACCTCTCGACTTGCTGGTCACACTGCTTTTGATACAGTATAGAATGTGATTCACTTTCTGGGCTGTAAGCACACATTGCCAGCTCATATTCAGTTTCTCATCCACCAATATCTCCAAGTCCTTCTTGGCAGGCCTGCTCTCGATCTACTCATTGCCCAGCCAGTATCCATGTTTGGAATTGCCCTAACCCAGGTTCAGGACCTTGCACTTGGCCTTGTTGGACTTCATGAATTTCACATGGGCCCAACTCTGAAGCCTGTCCAGGTCCCTCTGGATAGTATTCCTTCCCTCCAGCATATCAACCACACCACACAGCTTGGTGTTGTCAGCAAAATTGCTGAGGGTGCACTTAGTCCTACTGCCCATGTCACCAACAAAGATGTTAAACGGCGCTGGTCCCAATACCAACTCTCGAGGAACAACACTCATCACTGGTCTCCACTTGGACATTGAGCCATTGACTGTAACTTGTCGCCCTGATTTTTTAAGATTTTCTAAGCCTTCTGATGTTTACATTTTTGTAGCAAACTTTCTCACACACTTTCTGTAAACAACTTATTGTTTTGCATTCTTTTATGGAGGAGGAGAAATTTGATGGACTGTTGGTTTGTCCACTGTCATTGGAGAGGTGGCACTTTCACCCTCCAATCCACTGTCACCTTTGGAAATCTATAAATGTTGGAGTCAGAAAATAAACTTCCCTTTTCTACCTAGAGAACAGCAGTGTGTTCGCGTCGTGTTGTTTCGTGTCCTATAGCGACATCAACTCTTTGAGTGCAACTGTCCAGCCAATTCCTTATCCACCAAGTGATCCATCTGTCATGTCTCTCCAGTTTAGAGACTACCATGTTGTGCAGGATAGTGTCAAATGCTTTATACTAGTCCAGGTAGATGACAACAGTCGCTCTTCTCTCATCCACCAGTGTTGTAACCCTATTATCGAGGCCACCAAGTTTGTCAGGCACAGGGTCCAGCAGAAGGCCACAAAGCTGATGAGGGAACTGGAGCATCTCTCTTATGGGGAGAGACTGTGGGAGCTGGGCCTGTTTAGTCTAGAGAAGACTGAGTGAGGATCTGTCCTGGTTTAGGACAAAATTTGGGAGGAAACCTCCAAATGGGGTCCCTCTAGAAAAGCAAATTCAAGCAGCCCCTCCCCCTACTGGTTCGGGAAAAGATTTCCTTGGAGAAAAGTAGAAAAAAACTGTTTATTTAACAAGCAAAGTATTCACAAGCATAAAAAATGAATAGCATTAAACAGTGGAACCTCTCATTCTGAAGAGATGGCAAATTCAGAAAGTCCTTGTCGTGGAGTGCAGCTCGGCTCTCTTAGTCTCTTATCAGTGTCTTCAGTGGTGGAAAATGCCGCGGCCCAGGCCTAGGCCCCGGTGGGCGACAGGTGTGAGCTCCCAGTGCTCTTCTGAGTTTTCAGTCCAGAGCATGTTTGAACAGTTCCAAGAAAAAGAAAAAACCACAGTCCGGGGAACTTCTCTGCCTCAGCTAGCTAAAAACTAACTAAAAAGCAAAGGAGAGCTCTCTCCTGCTGTCCGTTCATGATGCAGACAACACAGTCCAGGAGAAGGAATGTGGAGGAGTGAATGCAGTTTCTGAAAACAAGCTGCACGCTTCTGCCCCTCCTTCCCTCTCAGAACCAGTCTTAAAGGTGAAAAACTTAATATCCAGCATAAACAGAATAGACAATTGAGGATACAAGCATCATAAAGTCACCCCAGGACAGGATCTCATTAATGCATATAAATATCTTAAAGGCAGGTGCTAAGAGGATGGTGCTAGACTCTTTTCAGTGATGCCCAGTGACAGAATGAGGAGCAATGGCCATAAACTAAAATGCAGATGTTTCACCCCATCATAAAGAACTTTTTTACAGTGAGGGTGGCAAGGCACTGGAACAGGCTGTCCAGGGAGGGCATGGAGTCTCCCTCTCTGGAGACATTCAGAACCCACCTGGACATGTTCCTGAGTAACTTGCTCTGGGTGACCCTGCCTTAGCAGGGCACTGAGGTGACACTGATTGGTCTGTAGTTCCCTGGTCTTCCTTATTTCCCTTTTTGAACATTGGGGTTATGTTTCGCATTTTCCAGTCATGGGAACTTGACCAGACTGCCATGATTTCTCAAATATGATGGATAGTGGCTTAGCCACTTGTCTTAGTTTGAAAGACAGGTGTTTGCCAAAGAAGGCAGGAACCTCCCTTGGAATGGAAAATATGACCCCCTTCCCTCTGAATTATTATAACTTTGAACTTAAGGGGCTTTCAGGCAAACATATGGGAAAAGGAATAACAGTTCTTTACTAGTATGCATAACAAGGCAAACAAACAATAACAATAGCAGCAACAACAAACAAAACCAGAAACCCAGTAACAGTCTTCTCTTGGCTGTCAAGCACTTTCCCCTTTGGTGTAGTTATGATCACAGCCGGCAGGGGCGCTGGTGGCTCCTGGCTGGGCAGGTCAGGTGCGATGATTCTCCCGTGGCTGCAGGGGCTGCTGTGGCACAAGCTCAGCTGCCTCTCTCTCACCTGGTAATGGCAGGCACAGCCAGCAGAAGAGATGGAAAAGGGCTTCCTTGACAAACTCTCATGGGGGGGGAGCGGTCAGTCCTGGTGCCCTTCCAGATAGCAAAATAAGCTGTAGCAGGAACCTTGGAAGCAGCAAGCTGGAACAGCAGGGATGAGCAGACCCTGGAGTGGCAACCAAAATGTAACAAAAACTCTGCAGCTGTAGCAGAAGCCGTGGGGTGTCCCAGCAGACACAGGGTGCTGGTTACAGTGTAGCAAAGAACCTGGAGCAGTGACAGAAAAAACAGTGGGGCTGGACAGTGGCAGCTGGGCTCCTGAACACAGCCAGGAGAGGCTCCTGCAGAGGGGGAGGGGTTTGGGATCCCGAGTTTTCCCCTGAGGCACCTGAATAGATGGTGAGGGTCCTTTCCAGTTAGATCAGGTGTTAATAAGGTCCCAGTTCAATGGCTGCTCTTATAAGCAAAGGTTCACCCACAGTAAGGAAGAAGAAGCAGTACAGGGCTGGGCTCCACAGTGGCAGTGGATTCTCTCTGTGAAAAATGAGGTTCATTCTCCTGTAAAAATTTTAAAGTTTAATAAAGGACAATAGGAGACAAAGACAATAAAGCAAAGATTTACGGCCGGGTGCTTGGTATTCCACCGAGAGCACACCTGCTATTTCGGAGACACCCTTTAAATACCTTTCCTATTGCATCAGCCTATTGCATATTCATAAACAATTATGCATATTTAAAGTTTTCCCAAAACTAGTTTACATGTTCCAAGAACTGTTTAGCATGGCTCCTCCTTAAGTCCGCCTTTTTAGACCATGCGCATTTCTTGGCTGTGGTTTTGGTCCATTTTTGTTATCACCTCCAGTTTGGGCTTTGGTCCATATTTTCTACAGATGGTAGGTGCTGATAATTGGCATGTCAGTAGCAGGAGTCTCCATCACATGTTTACTGAATGTTATCCCAACCAAGAAGGCATTTTAACACAAGCATACTATATCAGGTATTTCACTACTATGTCTAGTTAACAACTAGTTAATAACTACTATGTTTAGTTAACAACAGAAATAAAAAAAACCCAACTATATCTTTATAGCAAAGTTACTTTAACATTTTACATATAGCATCCATTAATATTTGCAAAAAGCCAATATTATAATATGTATTTATAACATCCCCGTGGTATACAACAGCTCAACTGTCCTCCTCCTATGCCGAGAGCGAGAGAGCAAAAGGAGCTCTCACGAAAACTTGTGCCCCGAGCCCTGGTCTGAGCCCCATCTTTTATTCACAAAGGTGTTCCATATACATTACATTGCTCAACCTTTTCATGCACACTCAACCCCTGGCCCCGCCTGTCCTCACCTCGCATGGTAATTAGATCCACACTGTTCTGAGCATGTGTTGTTCACAGTGATGGTCTCTGAGGTTGAAGGCCGTGATCTTCCTCATGGTTGAACTTTTCAACTTTTCTTCTTTGCTCTTGCGCTTTGGTCCCTTGGTGCTTATCTGAGTACGTCTGTTGATTTTGATCAGCTTGAATGCTGGGTTGGGTTGTAACAGGCTTGG